GTGTTCTTAATTATTCCACTCTCAGAATTCTGTCTGTGATTGAATGTAAACTACACCCTTAGTACATATGTTACCCACTTCCAGTTTCAGATAAAACACCAGTGACGCCATGCCTTGTTGTATGCAGTATCTGAAAAATACTGAAATGAATTTATGCAGTAGGCTTGGGATTGTAGGTTATGAAAACCTACAAAACCATCAGTAACGTTAAATTTCTAGCTTTTGATACATAAGCCTTGTAACATTTTTTTGAAATCTTCCAGCCATCTGCTTCATTATTCCTAAATCAGATTTCATATTCTGTCCTTTCAGTGCAGGAGATGAGGTGTATAAATATAATGCTCAACGAGAAACAGAGTTTGCTGCAGTGGCAGTTTGTTTAAGGCTTGAAGCAATGCAGAATCAGCTATATTAAATACTTATACAAAACTAGAGTGATGTCTATACAAAACATGCATTTGCCTATTGAGATGAGACAAAACTAAAATTAAAAACACACCCACACACTAGTTCTATGCCTAAACAAAATCATTGATGTAGCAATAGTACTTAGACTTATATGCCATTCCATAGTGCTTTATAGCATTCTCTGAATTGTTTACAATGTCAGTTTATTGCCCCTAGCAATCTGGGTCCTTATTTTACCAATCTTCGAAGGATGAGTCAGCTTTGAGCCCCATCAGGATCAAACTACAGGCGATGGGCAGAGTTTGCCTACAAAACTGCATTCTAACCACTGCACCACCACTGCTCATTATGGATATAAAATCCTGGATGTAACTGAGGAAATACTGCAATAATGCCAGAAAGATACGGAAAGCAGATAGGGTTTCTATGATGCTGTCAAGTTAATATTTTACTTAAAAGTAAATGCATTGCATCTTTTAATTAAATGTAGCTAATATCACAAAGTGCAAGTAAGTTGTACAAGACATAGCAAAAAGGCAAAAACTGGGAGGGGAAGCATTTCTATTTTTCTTAAAGTCATCAGAGGACTTGCTTAATGATTTAAGCAGAGGATTTCAGACATGAGTCTCTACACCCAAAAATAGTCATCCCACTTGTCAGGAGAGCTTCCCGACTTTCTTGGCTTCTACACAGGAAGCATTAGAGGACACTAAGTACTTGCAATTAAAATACTGAAAATAGTTCCGTATTCCATTCAGTAAGACTTGGGAAGTCTATTTTCTCTGTGGGATATATAATTTTCTGATGAATATGATCTTAATTTTTCTTCCTTTGTCACTTAGATTTATTTCTTATTTGATCTGCTTTAAAGAAACAAGAAGGGTTTGGGAAGAGATTGATAGTCCTGGCTTTATGCCACTATCCTATTTTTTTTAAATAATTTGCCCATGTTGGGGAGATAATAATGACACCTATCATGCGTTGCTTGATATCAGAAACCATGTTCCTATATTCTTGACTTCAGCCAATCTAATTTTCAGGCCTGACATGCTGAATAAGCAGTTAATTATTTTATCCTGATTACTACGTATTTTAAGCTATTCCAGAGCAGACTGATTGCAGTTAGAGTAGGAAACAGGAAAGAAGAAAAGAACTTCAGTGTTTGTTTGCGTGTGTGTGTGTGTGTGTGTCAGTGGTGGGTTTCAAATTTTTTTACTACCGGTTCTGTAGGAGTGGCTTGGTGGGCATGGCATGGCTTGGTGGGCGTGGCTTGGTGGGCGTGGCAGGGGAAGGATACTGTAAAATCACCATTCTCAGCCCATTCCAGGGGAAGGATACTATAAAATCTCCATTTCCTCCCAATCAGCTGGGACATGGGAGGCAGAGAATAGATGGAGGCGGGGCCAGTTAGAATTTTTACTACCGGTTCTCCGAACGACTCAAAATTTCCGCTACCATTTCTCCAGAACTTGTCAGAATCTGCTGAAACCCACCGCTGGTGTGTGTGTGTGATAGAATACCAAATACCATGTGAGAAATGCTTTAAATCAGAGCTCCAAGAGGAACTAATGAAGGGAAGCAGGCTAACACTGACTTCTTTATCAAATGTATTATCAAGGTTGGCTTAACACATTTTGTTCAGTTCCAATTTGCTTTGTTTAATTTCATCAAAATTGGCCATATTAACTGATAATTATTTCTTGACAGGAGATTTCACTTGGGATATTCCCTGTCAAAAGAGTAAAGCTGCAAATTCGATAGAAAGCATTGAAACAAGACTGTTTATAAACATGACAAGCCCTCCTTAGGGTCGTTTCTAAAAAGACTTAATTTTCCTCTTTGCTGGTTCTTAATAATAGATTTCCTACAAAACACTTGAGCTTAGCTCATTATTATTTGCATTTATTGTTTTTGCACAAAACTTTTAACATATTTTATGACATAATTCCATGAACACAGTTTTTTTAAAAAGGCTATTAGAAATATTCAAAATTTCCCTTTATTATCCTTTAAATCTTACGGAAGTGCCTTTGAACCAGCATATTTGTGAAGCTATGGTGAAGTTGGTATTCCTCCTTGCTACTCAGATTTAGGGTTCAAAGCAGAAATAAAACATATGCTCATTGATAATAATGATCATTCTAGTTCATACATAGGAAACTTAGAAATAAGTTTAGGACAAATCTAGACATGTACATGCCTTGAATTTTGCTGTTAAAGGGGACAAAATATAACTGATGTTTGTGCTTAAGCATTTTCTTTTTAAATTTTGATTATTTCCAGTGCATTTTATTATCTTCTTTTAGATCAGTGTTTCTCAACCTTGGAAGCTTGAAAATGGGTGGACTTCAACTCCCAGAATCCCCCAGCCAGCGCTGCTGGCTGGGGGTTTCTGGGATTTGAAGTCCACCCATCTTCAAGCTACCAAGGTTGAGAAACACTGTTTTAGATCCTCCATGAAAAGATAAAAAAATCCAGAGCTACATTATCCTGCAGGATTGTACATGTGGGAATGGAGGGGTAATACACATAAAAGTAGCAGAGCTTTGCTCACATGGCTATGATCAACTTTTATTTTTTACATCTATCCCTGCAGATGCTCCTCCTGGGGTAGTAAAATAACAGTGATTTATTTGCAAATAGTTACTGATATAAGAAAGATTTTACTACAGTACAGATTGCTCAAGGGAAAGGTACCTTGTTCAGATTTGATACTGTTCAAATGATATATAAATCATGAAATCATATATATATATATATATATATATATATATATATATATACACACATACATACACACACACACATACATATATACACATACATACAGTACATAAAACGTTTGAATTTTACATGTTTCAACAAGTTCTCTTCTATTGCAGAGAAGGCAATAGATTGAAAAAGCTGTTTAGACTAAATTACTGTTATTGCTAGTATTTCTATAATTAGTTTATTGGAAACTAGTTTGAGTAAAAGCAGGGTTGATAAGAATAGGCAATGTCTTTTTCTGCAATTCTTAAGCTCAACATAATGGTTAGGAAAGACAAGCTATCTAACAACACTGTTTTTGAAAAGGGCTTCAGAAACCCTTTGAAGGGTTTTTTGTTCAAAATTGTTTTGTTCAAAATTAAATAGAATATTATGAACAGAATTGGACTCACTCTTTCATAGACTAGGAATCATACTTGTTTTTTTACTGAGGTCCACAATAAGAGAAGAATGGTGATATGAATTAAGTAGGCTATGACAAATAAATAGGCATAGTCAGATTTTTTTTCTCCCCAAGAAAGATTGTACTCCCCAAGTTTCAGTAAATAATGTGAGATAAATTATGCACCATCAAGTCACTGTTGATTCCCAGCAACCCCCAATTTTCTCACAACTATCTATCCTTAACCTGGTTTTTCAGGTGCATTCATTGCTATTATAACAATCTATCAACCTTGCTGCTGGTCGTTCTCTTCTCTTTCCTTGCATTTTTCCCAGCATTAGAGCTTTTTCCAGAGGGACAGGTCCTCGCATAATATGTCTGAAATAAGATAATTTGAGCCTCATCATGTATCCTTCAAATGAGAACTCTGGATTGATATATTTGATGATCCGTTTTGTTTGATTTCTTTGCTGTCAATGGGTATTTTCAGGAGTCTCTCCAACACCAAAGTTCAAAAATAGCAATACTCTACTATATATGTGTTCCAAGGTTTATTTATTTTTTGTTTTCCACCAAAAAAACATTGAGGAAAATGTGAAAATGGATTTGGGAGTCTGCAGGTACCCCATATCTACAAATTAGTACCAAATACTATTAGTAATCACTAAGAATTTAACTGTTAATTCCTTTACTACATAGAAAAGAATTTATATTAGTTGGAAAGATCAAATTAGTAAAGTAATAGTAACAATAACCATCTGCTAAACACAGTGCCACAAAATTGAGAAACACGAAGATATAATCAGTTACATCACGGGTGTCAAACTTGATCATGTCACATGACATATCACGACATATTGCGGTGTTTTTTGCCTTCGCAGAGCCGGAATGGGTGTGGCCTGCATGTGATACATCTGGCCCACAGGCTGCCAGTTTGATACCCCTGAGTTACCTGTACATGACTTCTCCCCAGTATTTAATAGAAAGCAAATACAGTTTCTCTTGAACTGTTTTCACTTAATTTTTGGAGAATGGGGAAAAAATGGTCATTGCATTTCAGGGTATAATTCAGTTTAAACAAGTTTCAAAGGTAAATGTAGCTGTACACCAAATATTCCTTATAAAATTTCTTGTTTAACATAACTAGGTTCGTTCACTCTACTGATAATATTTCCAGACAGTCTTCCCATGTCTGGATTATGACATGGCCTTATTTTGACAATGTAAATATTGTATCTATCTCTGGTTCATGCCAAGAATTTATAAAGTTATAACAATTGTAATCCAAGTAAGCTTTGAGGAACTTTGCTGAATTTAGAGAAAACATTTCTTGCTGCTTTTCCATCTGTTCTTTGTCAGCTTTGCTACAGCGTCTTGCACCCTGCCTGACTTGCCTGCCATTCTTTCCCCATCTCCCTTTTCTTTCTCTTTCTCTACACAGGTGATTTCTATTCCCTCATTTCCAGACTGCTAGGAGAAAGGGAAGATGTGGTTCACCTGCACAAATATAACCCTGCAGAAAATGCTGAATCAGATTTTGTAGCCGAGATTGCTAATGTAGTCCAGAAGAAGGATCTTGGCTGGCCTGATGCCAGAGCATTTCCAAAGAATGACAAAAGGGCTAATACCATTCTTGTCAGAGACAGAATCCATAAATTTCACAGATTAGAATCAACTCTGAGGCCACCGGAAAACAGGCATGTTGTTTTGCAGCAAAATAAACCCAGTGTAGGGAACTGGGAAAAAGAACAGACAGGAGGTAGGTGGTTTGGAGTATTTTTTATCTTTCACTATCGAGTACTGTGCTCCATTCTGTGCAATGTGAGGAGGAAATGTGAACTGATATGTTTGGGACTGAGTTTTAAAAATGTATCATTTGACACTCCTTGTACCAAACGTTTAAATGAAAAATGCATTCCGTTCAGTATTGTCATCAGGAATTATTAAAATGATGTTCATATTGTATTTCTCTTTCCCAGAGGACTAGTATGTTTTTTTTTCTAGACATCTAAACTGTATAGTCTTGTCACAATTTTATTTAGTTATTTAATCATCATTAGATAATTTCTTTATAACTTGGGCAGCTAATTGAGAAATACTATATTGTTTACTATTTTGAGATATCAGTGGAAAACCAAACTGAAAGAAAAATATTTTTTAAATAAAAGCAAGCTGAAGCTTGTTTTTAAAACAATTTAATTAAAGATCAAGAGAAAATAAAATACAAAATAACAAAAAAGGGAAAGAATGGGATACAAAAAGGAAAAAGGGTAAAAAGTGAGAAAGCTAGCTAAATCTGACAAATGCTGTTTTTTTCCTTACAGATATTTATTTCACGCTTACATGAAATATGTGATTATACTTTCTGCATTTCTATTTATATGTTACTTTTCCAAAAGTGTAAGCATTATTGTTCTGTATATAATATTGTTTTCCCCAGAAGCCTAGAGCTAGTGCATAAGTTGCTGGTGCCAGCTTATCTATGGAAATAAGTCAAGATGCTGAATAGCATAAATCAGAGAAAAGAAATGTACGAAACAGCAACTCTTTTTCCTGATTAGAAAAGTAGTATTGATTTTGCTTCCATTTCCCAGGAGAAGACTAAGAACTACAGTTGAACCAAAAATGCAAAAATAAAGAGAGGAAAAAATTCTGCTTTATTTACTTAGTTTACTTAGTTTCTCAAGGAGAGAAGCAACCTAGAACTTTGAAGAAATTTCCTGATATTGAGAACAATAAACCAGTGGAGCAGCTTACTTTCAAAAATTGTGATGGCTCCATTACTGGAGGCTTTAAAAAAGAGATTGCACAGCCATTTGCCTGAAATGATATAGGGTCTCCTGCTTGAGTAGGGAGTTAGACTAGAAGACCTCCAAGGTCCCCTCCAACTCTGTTATTCTGTTATTTACAATTCCTGAAGCCATAGCCTGCCTCCTGTTTTAGATGTATCTAATTCAGAGGCCATGTGTTTTGTACTCTTGATTTAAAACAGCACTGCCTTTTGTTACCTCAAAGAATTTTCCCAAAAAGGAATGGATGGGCATCTCTGTTCTATTGAAAAGCAATTGTAATTATTTGGGGAAAATAATGTTGTGAATGTTTATATGACATAAGAGTTTCAGGTATTGGGAGTATGTACGGTAATTTGTGGGTTTTTTTGTTTTTTTTGTTTTTTTTTGCTGTTATCAAGAATAAGATCACAAATTACATACAATACCTGAAACTCTTATATTATATCTTATGTTATATAAATATTCACAACATTTTCATTCAATCTTCTATCCTTGTTATGGCATGATGACTAATGAAAAAAAAATCTAGTCTTATTATTTCTATCACTTAAACTAATTTTAATTATTGCAAGAATTTATTAACTTTTGAGATATACCTACCATGTTGTCTGCACTTAACAGACATCCAATATCTAGTACATTCATTTATGGAATGAATATACTGTGTGTTTGTATGTATGTATGTATGTTTGCTCATATACATACATACCTATATACCACTGTGGATTGCTCCTGGTTTGGTCCGGTTCTTGTGAACCGGTAATAATGGCGGCGGGAGGCTCCACCCACCCGCCCCAAGGTCATCACTGACGATCTGTGCATGCGAACCGGTAGTAAAGGTAAGTGGAACCCTACCCTGATATATACATTTGTTAACCAATGCAATCAAGCATAACATAATCATATGATTATGTTGCACTTGATTGCATTGGTTAAGAAGTACTGTAAATAAATTACTTGTAAATATAATAAATTTCATTGCATTCATGGGCTGATTTACTTGGATATATTTCCTTCAAATGTTTGGAACTTATTTTCAAATTAGTATAAATAAATTATCTGTTTGGTGCTTTATTCTTATTGAAAGTTTATTTTTTCTTTTGGTTTGTAAGTAGGAAACAAATTGTATTCCTACTTTTGTAGCTAAGCTGCTTTTCCTAATAGTAAGTTCAGTAACTTAAAAAAAATCCAGAATCCTGAAATACACGGCATTAACCAAACAAGGTTAATCAAGGGAATACTAATTGAAGCATGCATATTTGGAAGTATTCTACTGAAATCATTTTTTTGCACAAACATATTTGGAATTGTTTTTATTCTGTGTATGCAAGGTTTCAAACAAAAAACTCTTGTTTGAGAGTGGGAGTCGGAAGAGAACGGATACATGAATAAAATTCAGCATAATTTTTATACAGTTGTTATAGACAGTTTGTTTGGAAATGAGTCTGAGGGGGAGTCATCAAATTGTGGCTGCTGCTATTCCTGCCAAATTGATGGAATGAGCAATTGCTGTCTCCCTCTGTCGTAGGCAGGCATATTGGTACTGACAGCTCACTTATTGGAATATTGAAATATTGGCATTTACAGCATAGATGATATAGTAAGAAGGTTGAGATGAGTTCATTTTACATTACGCTTATAAAAGAAGATATGGTTTTCATGCTTTTGGAAACTGCTGGGGAACATTCCTGAGGGATCTATGCTGAGACTGGGTTTTTTTTTTTAAAGAATAAAAAAAACACTGGCCAGGTTCATTCATTGCAGTTATATAACAACATTATGGTTTGCAGAGTTTTGGCCACTCACCAGCCTGAGTATTAGGCCATTATGGTTGTCCAGAAAATCATTTAAAATTTGAGGTTAGCTATGTTGTAATTATTACTCTATATGCATTATAACATTGCATGCAAAAGTACAGGTAGTCCTCAACTTAATGATCATAGTTGAGACTTGAATTTCTGTCATGTGTTGCTGTGGTCATAAAGCAAGTCATCATGTCACTGGATCCGATTTATGTCCATTTTTACCAATTTTTTTTAGTGAATCACAAGATTGGTAAGGGAATCACCCAGTCATTAATCAAATCCAGCTTCCCCCATTGACTTTGTTTGTCAGAAGCCAGCTGGAATCTAGTTGCTATCACATGACCAGAAGCCACTGCAACTGTTGTAAATGCAAGCCAGTTGACAAGAGCCTGAATTATGATCAGGTGACTTTGGGAGTGGTGCAGCAATTGTAACTTGAGGATGGGTTGTAAGTTATGTTTTTCAAGGCCTTTGTAACCCTGATCCATTGTTAAATGCATGATTGTAAGTCAAGGATTACCTGTACAAGTTTTGTAAGAAGCACACACATTATCATAATGTATAGAATAAATATATTCCTTGCTGTTTTTTTTCAGGTTTAAAGATAGAAGAAGTAGCTGACTGGCCAGGCATAACCCTCAAACTAGGCCAAGTCTCTGGGTTGGCCCTGGATCCTAATAACAATTTAGTCATCTTTCACAGAGGTGACCATGTGTGGGATGCAAAGTAAGCAAACCTAAGTCAGTCTCTCCCTCCTCTTCTCTCTCTCTCTCTCTCTCTCTCTCTCTCTCTCTCTCTCTCTCTCTCTCCCCCCCTCCCCCCCCCCTCTCTCTCTCTCTCTCTCTCTCTCTCTCTCTCTATATATATATATATATATATATATATATATATATATATATATATATCTTTATGCTTTCATGTTTACCCTTAAATCCCATTCTTTTGGCTCTTTGTGTGTGAGATCAAATTATATCAGCTGCTTAAGCAGGTGATTTTATTTGAAATACATTAAAAGAACAAGATTTTTTCATAATCAGGTTTCATAATTCAATGGCTCTTAATTTAAATACATCTAGAAAAAAAGGTATGATGTTCATCTCTTATTTCTTAATTTCTTTAATGGGATTTTGGTTTTTCATAATTTGAGAGATGTTGCAAGTTCCTGTGGAAGTAATGATAGCGATTGATAGTGACAACAGATAATAGACACCTCGGAGTTTGAACATTCTTGAGAATACATATTCCAAATCCTTTATAACATTTTGAAAAATAAGTAAAGTTACGCAAATAATGCAAAAGCTACCATGTAGAAAAGATACTAAACCAAGGACTACATCCATGTAGTAAAATCATGTAGTAACAGGCACTAAACAGGATTTTGCAGTATTTCAAAATGCTGCTTAAATGTAGAAAAAGCATGATAGATCATTTTAATGAATGATTTATAAGTTGTAAGAGAATAGATGGATGCTCATTACCAATGTACTTACTTTTTTTCTGGTTTCCATTTATGCTCCTCTTAAAACTCAAAAAGTTCCGCTGAATATTGTCCCCAATAATAAGTTTGCTTGATTGGTTCAGAAAAGTGTAACTGGCTCAAAATTACTAAGTGAGCTTCAGGACTGAGCATATCTTAATTCTGATTCTCCCTAGTTTACGTTTTAACCCCTGTAATTCATTGACTATTATTTTTATTCTAAAATATCCTTATTGTAACTCTCAAACATCTCAAAGCCCAAAATAAATAAGCAAAATATTTTGATTTATATTTGCCTGACTTGTAGTATGATCATGTGACTCTTCAGTGGCATGAGCATGTCAATATTTGTCAAGGATGCCATTTTTATTTCAGGTGGATCAAGAGATTAGAAATAACTCAGTTACCTTTTCAACATAGCATAAAATAGTAGTAAGTGAAAATAAAAGAGTCTTGCACATTTCTGCAGTGAGAATCCCTCAGAGATTTGTAAATAAAATTTTTAATAAGAGCGTATTACTAATAAGAGGAAGGCAATAACATAGAAGAAATAATGTTTATTATCATATGGAATAGTTTCCTTTCCCTCCCTTGAGAGTTGGCCTTCATTAACAGCCTTGACTAAAAATATGCACATAATCAGAAAATTAATGCACAGTTATTAATTGTTCTTTATCAGTCATAGAGGTACTCAATTATTAGCCTAAGGAATTCAGTTCATTCTTTGTGGTTGATTGCTTCCCCATCATACAACAAGAAAGATGCAAACAGATTATCAGTGCTTCAGGGAGAGTACAAAATGGCAGCAATATATTAATAATACATGAACATTAAAAGCTGAGCATCCCTACAAGTAAATGTAGCAGCTGCTTGAAAATATTAGGCAACTTCATTTAGTATTATCCATAGAGTTCTATGATCAGGATCCGGTGCTGTGTGTCTATATCAGTGTTCTGCCCCAAACAAGTTAAGCCACTGTCAAATTTACAAAGCAATCTGTTCTTTAAATTGCTGCCTTTGGGGTTGCACGCTCTTTTTCTTGATCATTTTCCTTTATTCTGATGAGATAGCAACTTCAAGAGAATCCTGCCAAATAACAGATAAACAAATGTTTTTGGAACATGCCTCAAGTCTGAAAATTCTGTTTGTACCCTCGTTATCCATCTTGATATTAATAGTATGTCTCAAAAATACTGGGTTTTCCCCCACAATAAGACTTTTTGTATATAAATAAAATATATTTAATATGCTGTTATTAAATCTAAACTTAGTCTTACTTGGAATAGAATCTGATGCTACTTAAGTTAATATGTTTCTTTTATCTCTCAGTATGTTAACAATTTACACTGCTTTGCTCTTCTCTCCCAGCTCCCTTTCGTGGCTTTCCAGAAAACATTCATTGTTTAAAAATAAAACTGAAATTATTTAGTCGCACAACTTCATAGTGAACTAAGTCAATCTGGTGCTCTTGAATTTATGTGGAATTTGTGCCCTGGGTTTATTAATGTCACTTTTAAGCATTTCTTCAGAAGGGTTTCTATAAATAAGAACGTTGACCTAATTAATGTAATAATAAAAATATACTTAAAAGTCAATTAATTTATGTAAAATAACTGTAATTGTTCAGCTCCTGTGGATTTTTCTTAATTACTATGTTGTGGATTGTTTCTGTAAGGAGAAAGTAAAAAATACGTTTTTTATTCTTACAATATTACTTTACATGTAATTTTAATTGTTTGTATTTTGTGTTGCATTCTAGCATTATAAATATATGAGAAAGAATAATACAGTGCCCAGAATAGTGAACTTTAGTCAATGCCTAATGCTTATATCAAAACACTATTTGAAATTATAGGGAAATATAGCTACATATAGTTAATAATTTCTCTGAGGATAATGGCATGAGTGCGTTATATCAAGATTATAACTCATAAAAGATCCTAGTAGAATTTTCAAAATACTTTAGTTTAAAATAGATTGAAATACTTAAAGGTTATCTTACTGTGTCTACAGTGCATTTAAAATCAAATATTACTTTGATGTAGAAATTAGAGGAGGAAGAAAGAATATACAGTTTTAAGATTTATATTTGCTTTCTGTAAGTGTGTTTATGTATGCATATAGTGTCTAGTAAGAACCTCCTCTGAAGGCTTTTTCATGACTTTTTGTTATATCTGATATAATATTTGAAAAGTCACGAAAAAAGCCTTCAAAGAAAGTTGTTACTAGACAGCTGTTTCCATAAAGGTGAAGGTTCTGCTGACATATTGTAATACAAAGTTCAAGTGTGTACGTTTGTTAAAATGTAAGCTCTGAGTCACATCAGTGAGAAGGGGATGGTATAGATCTTTAATGCAGGAAGAAATATATGCTTTTAATAGAAAGACTTGCAGGGTGAAACATGGAGAGTTCCTGAAAAAAGCAGACACTGGATGTCAACCTTCGCTATCTTCCTACCTTTCTAGCTATTGTCAGGCACCAATGGTGTTACCTAGTTGGGTAATGAAATGTCTGCAAGCAATCAGCCAAGGACTCTTAAAAAAACTCTGTCTGAGTGAGAAATAGTTATTAAAGAAAGAGTCTGAACTAGGAAAAAAAGTTTTAATAGAATCCAAAGTACTTAAAAGAAAGTTCATGGTTTAAAAGAAGCAGATAGAGAAAAACATTAAAACCCTGAGGGATTGTGAGGTCAATTTGAGATCTTATGGGAGTCTTTGGTCATTGGAACTGATAGGCATACTTTAAATTATTGCAATGTACTACAGTATGCTCACAGATTTACTGCCGTATTTACTTAGATAGTTCTAAAATGCTTGAACATAGCCAGGCACAAAATACCTTGTTACTGCAGACACGGTAGTGAATGGCCAGATATTAATATTTCAGGCCAGAATTCTAATTCATGTTAACTAAAATGTGGTCCAACAAATATATGTTTGAGAAGACAGTTGTATACTAATATATATTTCTTTTATTTTTTTAACTTTAGTTCATTCAACAGTAGCTATGTTTATCAACAAAAAGGACTTGGACCAATTAAAGAAAATACCATTCTTGTAGTAGAAGCTAGTAGTTCAACAATTCTTCGTTCCACAGGAAGAAATATGTAAGCTCTTTTTTTAAAAAGAAAAACACACAACTTTGATATATTCTTTATGTTTGATTGGTTTGAACTGATTAATTCTGCTTTATTTTGTGTATACTAATTATTTTTGTGCTGAAATTTCTTCAATTTGGCTAGTGTCTTTGGAAACAATTCTTATTTTTGCCTCCACTGACTGTTTACTGATCCATATAAATACAACTCCAATCAAAAATAAAAATATACTATCTGTCTGCCTGCCTGCTTGCCTGCCTGTTTGTCTGCCTGCCTATCTCTCTGTCTATCTAGCTATCTATCTCTAGCTATATCTATCTTGAAGAAAAAAGCCGGGACACAGAAGTCTTGCTAAATGTCTGCTTACACTTGACCTGGCTATAAATATTATGTGAGGTGGATGTACTTCTATCATTCAATTGAGTACTGTGGGATGGGTTGAAAGTCATCCTGTATTCTATTTTATTGCTTCAATCTGGTGCAAAAATCACTTTTCTACCATATCTCACATGTTCCTAGGCATGAAATAGGTGTGATCCTTTATCCTAGATCACTCTAATAAGCAAAGTAGGCATTGTTTCTCTTCTGTATTCTGTATTCCCTCTAGATATGTATTTGTTTGCATGCATCCTGTAAACAGTGTGCAATTCCAAAACATTCTTATACTTGAGTCACAGCATCAAATCTAATAGAATTTTTGAGATAAAGATTGTGACAAGATTGACTTTTCTTTACATGCAATGTACTCTCCTAGCTTTTGATAACTTTTCAGTCTGCATGCATCAGGGTTCAAAGTAGATTTTAGTGAAATTATTCCTGCAAATTACCCTGAATGTTATTGCATGCCCATCATTTTTGCAAAGCTTTCTCCACTGTCAGTTAAGATTCATTAGGGAATTTTAAGCTGAATACATTTACAAGATTTCCCCATGATCAAGAATCCTATTTTACCAGGACTTTCAGTTTCAATGAAATCCATAAACATGTTTCGCTGAACATGCTTTTATTATCCAGGGAACATTGATTGTCAACACGTGAAGGAATACAGATGTCTTGGGAAATTGTTGAGGCTGGGATTTCTTTGCATACTCTTTGCATATTTTCATAAAATAATTAAACCAATGCTTTTGCAAGCTGAATATCTGCAGAAGATTATACTTTCTTAAATCATTTGTTTACTGTATCTCTAATAACCCAAATTAAAAGGTTCAAATACCAAGTTTATTCAAGGGGAAGATGACTTCCATCAGTTAGTTTACATAGAAAAATTTCCTGCTTCTTTTACATATTCTTAGTTAATCTAATATATTGGCAGGATTAGGGAAAGAAAACTTTTCAGATAAACGGAGTGATATTTTTTGTCTATAAATTAATGTGCTTGACATAATTCAGCAGTTCGATATTGTCAAATGCAATATGCTTCAAGATTAGCTGCAGGGTTTAGGAGCAGGAGGCATGACTGGTCAATTCCAGTTGGGAGTTTACTAGGTTGGTTTCAGTAACATGTTTGTGGATTATACAATTCCCTGAAATTTTGGCTGTTCCTTTTTACACAACAATTGTATGGAAAGAAAGTATCTCTGCTTTCCTCTAACGTAACCTGGATGGAATGTTTCCTTTCCTAGTGATCTTTATCTGACTATCAGTTTTGAAGTATAGTAATTATAGCATCATGTTGACACTAAATAAAATCAATTACTTGCAAATTACAGAATACAGAATAACAGAGATGGAAGAGGCTTTGGAGATCATCTAGATTAACTCCCTGCTGAAGCAGGAGACCCTATGCCATTCTGAACAAATGACAAGTCATAGAAGAAGGAGAGGCAGAACCTGGGGGCGGAGTTAAAAGTGAGATCAGACTAGAAACTCTATGTAGCTACAAGCAAATTAAATTCAACCCCACTTGAATTTTGCTGACCCTTATCTAAATCTAAGCAGGTGCTAACTGTTATTTGAAAGGATTCCTGTGCATAGGCACTATTAACAATAAATAGGTTTAATTGATCGGTTTAATTGGACTTTGATGTGTGGACCTGACCTTTCGCATCTGTCACAGGTACAATACTAAAGACAGGTGAACTAAGTGAAAAAAAAGAAAAGGGCTGCAAATTTTGGCAGCTGTAACATTTCTCTCAAAATAAGATAACACTAGTTCCACCTCTTGGAACAGCTAAACAACTAAACAAAACCAATTGTTTTTAATACTGCTTTCTTCCTCATTAACATTACTTTTGTTTATTCTCAGGTTTTATTTACCTCATGGCTTGAGTATAGATAATAATGGTAACTACTGGGTGACAGATGTAGCTCTTCACCAGGTATGTAGAAATAGTTTCTATATTAGCAAGAAAACCTAAATCTACTGTCTTTCTGCCTCTAACTAACACTTTGGGTATAATATTTGTTTTAATCTAGTGTGGTTTGAGGAAAATATTTGTCATTTTTTTTACTGTTTGGGTAAAACACAGTCAACCCATGGGTTGACTTTTATACAAAACAAAAACCAAAACTGTGAATCCAGCTCTTACAATGGATCTGTGTAATGATCTCATGAATATTAATGTCTATACAGCTGTTCTCTAAAGAAAGATATATTCTCCAGGTCAAATGTTTGATCTTCCTGTAAGCTATAGCATTTTTGTATTAGTCTCACTTAACTGAAGCTCTTTATTCTTTTACATTGTTAGGTGTTCAAACTGGCATCAAATGGTGCAGAATCTCCTTTGCTGACTTTAGGGAGGGCTTTGCAACCTGGAAGCGACAACTATCACTTCTGCCAACCCACTGATGTGGCAGTGGATCCAGCAACTGGGAATATTTATGTGTCCGACGGCTACTGCAATAGTCGTATTGTTCAGTTCTCTCCAAATGGAATATTTGTCATGCAGTGGGGAGAAGGTATAGGATAGAAAGTTAATTCTTTTTTCCCCTTGGAGAATGGCTACAACAATGTATATACAAAATAAAATTCAGATTTAGCCACCCCCTGTCCCTCTAAGTCTGATTGAAATTAAAGATCTGTGGGTATAAGGCAGTGTTTCTCAACTATAGCAACTTTAAGATATGCAGACTTCAACTCCCCAAATTTCTAGCCTATTTGAAGTCCACACATCTTAAAGTTGCTAAGCAGAGGTGGTATTCAGCAGGTTCTGACCAGTTCTGGAGAACCAGTAGCGGAAATTTTGAGTAGTTCAGAGAACCAGTAAATAACACCTCTGACTGGCCCCACCCCCACCTATTATCTGCTTCCCGACCCCATTTCCTCCCGAGCTGATCGGGAGGAAATGGGGATTTTGCAGTAACCTTCCCTTGGAGTGGGGAGGGAATGGAGATTTTACAGTATCTCTCCCCTGGAAGTGGGGTGGGACTGGTGATTTTACAGTATTCTTCCCCTACCATGCCCACCAAGCCATACCCACCAAGCCATGCCATGCCACGCCCACCAAGCCACGCCCACAGAACCGATAGTAAAAAAATTTGAATCCCACCACTGTTGCTAAGGCTGATAAATACTGATTTAAGGTTTTCAGAGGATAGACCATTATGTATTTTATAATATATTTCTAATATTAAGACATTCTTATTTTATAAGGAACTTAAATTACCATTGGTAATTTAAATGGGTAAGAAGTTCCATTGTTGAGATACCACCTACATTCTGAGTATATGCAACTCTAGAAATAGGATTTATCAGTAAAAACTGAGTGTATGGTGGAAAAGTATTAAACCATATTTTAATCATTTAGATATCTGGATTTTTTCAAGATAACAGATATTTTATTTTTTTACATAAAGCTTTTTGTTAAATTCAGTCACTAACCCAAGAACAAGGAGAAAGGATGCTTAATTATATCTATTCAGAGACATAAAGTTGCAGTAGTTGAAAAGATTCACATTTTTTCTTTACTTTGCTTTTCTTCAAATGTAACCACTAATAGTGACTTTAGTTTTGTCATATTTAAAATGAATATCTCTTCTTTCAGAGACTTCTGTAGGTCATGCTAAACCGGGCCAGTTCAGCATCCCTCACAGTTTAACTCTTGCATCTGACTTTGGTCAGCTATGTGCAGCAGACAGAGAGAATGGTCGGATTCAGTGTTTTAAGCCAGAAACAGGCAAATTTGTAAGAGAGATCAGACATCCATCATTTGGAAGAGAAGTTTTTGCAGTTGCTTACGCTCCAGGTAAATATAAAAAAGTGTTGCACTGATCATCTCTTCTCTTGGTCTCTGTGACTCTTTAATATTTTTTCCTCTACAGTTTTTTTAAAAAATATTTTTTTAATTATTGTCAACACAATCAGACTTTCCTTTTCAATGCTTGAGTTTCATGAAAACTGTAGTGGGCAGGGGGTGCTTTCATTGTATATATGAACAAAACTATGTTAGCCATTTGTTAAGGAGAGAAATTGAATTCCAAACCAGAACTTTTATTAGAGAGAAAAACAGAGTCTAAATGTATACACAATAGATTATGAATAAGACATAGAGAAAGGGCAGAGAGAAAAGGCTTGTATCTTTTCAACCAAACTCTTTTTTCCTAAGATGATGTTTCTTCCTAAGCTACAGTATATAAGGCTTCATAGTATTGTAGTCATATGTTCTGTTTGATACCATTCCTAATTTGCACCTTTTCTACTAAACCTTTTGATTTACTTTTTTTTATATAGTTCTAAGGAACATAGCAGTTTTCATTCCATCCAGCTTGCTGCTTCTATATATTATTTTCCAGATGGAGGACTTTTCTTTACAATGAACTACCCAAAGATTGAACAATTCTAGCTAGGGAACTTTAAAATTTAAGAACTATACAATGTATAAAATCTTCCAGCATTTTATGGCTAAATAGATGCCAACGGAAAGTCACAGTACAGCATCCTCCACTTATATATTCTAGCATCTGATTTTGAGAGGTATTGTACCTCTTGATACTACTTTTTGGGAATTATTTTAAGTGAGCTAAGTCTTAAATTCCAAGAATTTGTCTACTCACACCCAAGTTAGTGGCTTACCATAACTACTATATACTGCTACGCTAAAATAAATTCTGGGTGGAGAACTGCTTATTCCTTCAAGCTTCATTTACTGACATCTGGCTGTATTATATCTTAGAGAAAGAAAAACTTCTCTCACAACACTACTTTCTCTATTAAATGCACAATAGTGTTTACATTTATAATGTATATTATATAAATATGAGCCAGCAGTGTTCAGCAACAGCCAAAAAGGCTAATACAATCCTTGGTTATATAAACAGAGGCGTAGAATCAAAATCATGTGAATTAGTACATTATTACTACATCCTTAGTGAGTACAATATTAGTACATCCTTAGTGAGGCCACACCTGGAATACTGCATCCAGTTTTGTCACCATATTACAAAAAAAAGTTGAGATTTTGGAGAAAATGCAAAGAAGAGCAACTAAGATGACTAAGAGCTTGGAGACAAAAACATATGAAGAATGGTTGCAGGAATTGGGTATGGCCAGTCTAGAGAAAAGATGGAGTAGGGGTGACAAGATAGCAATATTCCATTATTTGAGGGGCCAACTTATTTTCCAAAGCACCAGAAGGCAAGACAATAAAACAATGGATGGAAACTAATCAAGGAGAGAAGCAACCTGGAATTAAGGAGAAACTTCCTAACAGTGAGGACAATTAACCAGTGGAACAACTTGCTTTAGAAGTTGTAGATACTTCATCACTGGAGGTTTTAAAGAAAAAAACTGGATAGCCATTTGTCTGAAATGGTATAGAGTCTCCTGTTTTAGCTGGGGGTTGGACACACACACACACAGTATAACTTTGCTTCAGTTTTCCTTTTTTTTTTAAGATGGAAAGTTGTACCATTGCTGAATTGGTTTTTACCACTACCAGCCTTAATTCCTCGCATATTTTTATTTGAAAACGAGCTGCTATTTTCAGTATCAGTCCCATATCTTGTATAATGAACCTGCAAAGATATGTATTCATTTCTGCTTTTATATACCACCTTTTCACTACTAACTCAAGGCAAAACAGAATGTCTCTCCTATTTATCTCTCCCTAAAAAAACCTAGCCATGTGAGGTTTGAACTGAAAGAGAATCTGCTTGGTTCACACTAAAATAGGAAGTTAAGCAGATCTTTCTCAATCCATATCAAATATTTTTAACAATCTATTTGCAAACTCATTCTTCCTTTGTTATTCAGTAGTCCAAACACTCCTCTCTTTTCTCATTTGTGAAGTCATTGTTATTTTCAATATCTTTAAAGCTGTGCTTCACAGAATGTATGTTTGCATCATTTATTGCATTCCTTTAGTTCTTTAGTGCTAGCTTGTCATCTTTTTTTAAAAGTTACCATTTGAGTAGCATTTTCATTTTTCTGTCATAGCATGAAAAGCTGTCATTTTTCTCATAGTTTCTGACATTGATCATCATCCACGCAGGTCACTGCTTTGACTTTACATTTTCCTAGCTAGCAGAATGCAGTCTGGCTGAGTTTTGTCCTAGATGTGTGATAGTTAGCATGCTGGTTTCACTTAACTAATGATGGAATTTGGAGTTATCTGTAAGACCATGGAGATACAGGAGATAGAAGCTTGATTCTCACATTGTGTCAAGCTACAGTGCATTCAGAGCTGGTGCCCTGAGTTGCTTTAATAGAGGTAATCATAGAGTTCTGGGAGACTTAAAAGAGATTCTATAAGGCCCTAAGTACTTGGTGGGAGACCACTAGAGATTCCAGCGCTGTAGGGTAGACTGCTGAATAAAACTAAAAAAATAAAAAATAAATACAAAACAACCCTTTTTTGTAATGTTACCAAGAAAACTGCATGGAAACAGTCTCCAGGAGTCAAGTCTGCTCGAGGATATCTTTATTATATTATAATTAGAATGTTTCCTTCAGCAAACTTTATTCTTCTGCTCCATTCACAGAATGTTATCTTAACTACCCTGACTTGCTGTTTCCCTTTTGAAGACAGTTGGCTATTAATTATTGCCTCTAATAAGATGAATATATGCTTCACCTATTGAGATTTTTACAAATATTGCAAGAGTCATTTAGCTTGCTTGATCTTTGTCATATTCAGATCATACCATGTTATCTTCATTATTTGTGTAGACACATTTCTCTGAGACACATTTCAGGATATTGACCTGATTTGAAATATCTCTATGATGCATGATTTGTTTCAAAGAGTAAGATTAAGAAATAGACAATATCTCTGGTAAGAGAAATGACAGGATTTGTCTAAGAATATACTAGGAGACAGCTCATTTTTTAAAAGTTGTATTCTGTCCTTTCAGCAGAATCCTTCCTTCAACTTCTTAAAGCCACAACCCATTTTTTTTCAAACATGTAGAAACCTATAAAAGTTGGACTGCTTTAATGAATAAAATGCTGCTCCTAATACAAAATCCAGACCAGTTCTTCCCAAACTCAACCTTAATTAAATTCAGTACTTAAAATATTTGCAGGCACACAGATAAACAGTATAAAGCTAAATTGTTGTTAGTTGCGAAGTTGTGACCGACCCATCGTGGCCCCATGGACAATGTTCCTCCAGGTCTTCCTGTCCTCTACCATTCTCTGGAGTCCATTTAAGCTCACACCTACTGCTTCAGTGACTCTATCCAGCCACCTCATTCTTTGTCATCCCCTTCTTCTTTTGCCCTCAATCTTTCCCAGCATAAGGCTCTTCTCCAGTGAGTCCTTCCTTCACATTAGGTGGCCAAAATATTTGAGTTTCATCTTCAGGACCTGGCCTTCTAAAGAGCAGTCAGGGTTGATCTCCTTTAGGACTGACTGGTTTGATCGTCTTGCAGTCCAAGGGACTCGCAGGAGTCTTCTCCAGCACCATAGTTCAAAGGCCTCAATTCTTTGGCACTCAGCCTTTCTTATGGTCCAACTTTCACAGCCATACATTGCAACTGGGAAAACCATAGCCTTGATTATACACACTTTTGTTGGCAGGGTGATGTCTCTGCTTTTTAGTATGCTGTCTAAATTTGCCATAGCTTTCCTCCCCATGATCAGGTGTTTTTTAATTTCTTGGCTGCAGTTCCCATCCGCGGTGATCTTGGAGCCCAGGAAAATAAAATCTGACACTACCTCCATTTCTTCCCCATCTATTTGCCAGGAATTGAAAAGGCCGGATGCCATGATCTTAGTTTTCTTAATGTTGAGTTTCAAATAAAGCTAAATATATTAATTCAAACAAGTAATAAAGATGTATCTTAAAACTACTGATCAAAATCACATAGTGCTTCAATATGTTTGGAAAATAATTTTAGTTTAGTTTGAGGTATACTAAATGTTGCATTTCCCAAAAGAGAAAGTTACTTGGGTAGAAGCGCATAATCTATGCCTCTCTTCCCCAGTCTAAGGTGTGACCCTCAAAAGCTCCTGCTGAATTATAAATTGTAATGTGACAGAAGTGGAAAATTACTAAATACATGTCAAGTAATCTGTTTTAACTCATCCTAAATAAATCAAATTTATTTAGTTTTTTAGCCTCGTCCTTATCTTTTGTTGCCCTGGTTTAGTAGAAATATACTGCTGTGGAAATGTGTCAGGATAGAAAGACTAAATTGCACAAGACAGTTGGAATTCTTGTACAGGTAGTTTTTTACTTACAATCACACTTGAGCCCAAAATTTCTGTTGTTAAGTGAGACATTTGGTAAGTGAGTTTTGCCCATTTTAGGATATTTTTGCCACATTTGTTAAGTGAATCACTGCAGTTGATAAGTTAGTAATTTGGTTGTTAAGTGAATCTGGCTTCCCCATTGACTTTGCTTGTCAGAGGGTCACAGAAAGGGATCATATGACCTTGGGATACAGCAATGGTCATAAGTGTGAACCAGTTGTCAAGCATCTGAATTTTGATCATGGGGATGCTGCAAAGGTTGTAACTATGAAAAACAGTCATATGTCACTATTTTTAATGCCATTGTAACTTTGAACGGTCACTAAACAATCTGCTGTAAGTTATTTTTCTAATGTAAATTGCAGGTCTGACTAGTGGAACGTAGGGCAATGGGAGGAACTTAATCTAAATGAGACATTTCATTAATTCCTAATTTTATATTAGAAAGCTAAGTTGCAAATTGTAGGTCATGTTTGCCTGTAAGAAAAATAGTAATGAGAGATATGTACTTTTTCTTTCCAATTCTTAAACATCAATATATAGGATTCATATCACATTGCTATTGCATGAAAAACAAAACATAAAGATGCAGCTACTGATTAGGTGATGTGATGGCTCAGCGGTTAAGACACTGGGCTTGCTGGTGAGATAGCTCAGGTTCAATATTCAAGTGCTGCACGATGAGGTTACTTGCCCCTGCTCCTGCCAGCCTATTAGTTCAAAAGCATACAAATGCGAATAAATAAAAAGGCTCCACTTTGATGGGGAGGTAACAGCAGTCCATGTTTCCAGTCTGCAGTGTGTTGTCATGCTGGTCACATGACCACGGAAATTTTTTTGGACAGCGCTGCCTAAATGGCCTTTAACTGGAGATGGGTACCACTCCGTAAAGTCAGCTATGACTAGCAGAGTAAAATCCACAAGGACTCGTTTACCTTACTTTTTACTGAACTAAAGTTTAGGGAGATTTTTTTTCTGTTAAGACAGAGATAATTTTATCTCTTCATTTGAGATCTTTCCTTAATAGGTCTTAATAGTCATCTGACAAAGAAGCAAGAATCATCTATAAATACAGATTTCTCTCCAAAGGTCAAGAATGCTGTTTTTTTCAAGTGAGACATACTATAAACATGTAATATGTCTCCATTCTCAAATTTATTTAGGCTAAAGAAAGTTATCAGAAAATAGATATCTAGGCTCCTAGATATTGAATATCAGATGAAAGAAACCTTCTCCTAGCATTTATGCAACTACAATCTAACAACTCCAGGTAGAAACCAGTTGATGACATCAACTATCCCCATTTCAACAAAGGTTTTTTTCTTGGGATTGAATAGCTTCCTTTCTATTTTTAAATAAGAGATTTGATTGCTGGTTTCCATACCTGGTTGAACCTGGCTTTGTGTTGATGTTTCAGTTGAATCAGCCTATCCTCCATGTACTATTACACTTTGCTTTCTATAACTATACTTGAAGAAAATTCAGTTTTCTTTTGTTGTTGCATATTCCAAGTCAGTCTGAGGATTAATTTACTTATATAAAATAAGAAAGACCTTGTGCTTAATAAGTTACAGAAAGTTATAAATGTGTGCAAACAACTTCTGATCTAGATAAGTAAGTGCCTTCATATTTGTTCTATCAATCTTTAGTCCTATATGAATAAATTAGCAATTATATCATTTATACATTTAACATTTATATTTTATATCATTAGATTGCACAGTACAATTTATTTTTACACTGTTACTATACTGCGGGTTAATACACTGAGGATAAAATTTTAAAATTCACTTAAAATTAATGTTTGTTTTTCTTATCTAATTTTAAATATTAGTTTTGATTCCTTACCTTAGTGTTAATACATGCAGTGAAGCATTATTTTACTTACCTAAGTATATTTTACTGACATGGCTGGATTTTATTATATTTTGTTAGCTATGTCCTTACCTACCTACAATCCCTATAAGACTAATAAGTTGTTAAGTGATATTAAAAGAGTTGTGAAAGGATTTAGTGGTGAGAACTTAGAATAATCATTGAATCCCACAAAGAATTTTAGGCCATTATAAGTATTTATTTCTAGAAAATATCTTACCACAAATTTTATCAGTCACTCACTCTACTGTAAAAACACATTGTGACAAGGCTGCCCTCTTATGTTCAGTGGGCTTATTTTGATTAAGACTCTGACCAGGTTCTTTGTGATAGTACTTTATTGGAAACCTGTTTTGTTTTGTTTACAATTTTCAGTCAATTTAATGAAAAAATAAACTCTGTTAAAAATTCAAAAGTTGGGGAGGGGGGACTTGGAAGGGTATGAGTTTTACCTCAGTCTGGGTTCCAGTCCATCCTTGATACTGGAGCATATTGTTTGTAAAGTGCTTGCTTCTACTGTTTTAGAACTAAATGTTTCTGTAAAGCCATTACAACATTGTTTTATCAGCATCCCTGAACCAAACATTATCCATTTACAAGATGTAAATGATACCCTGAATCCTAAAGAGAAGAAGTAAAGGGAACCTGATGGAACCGTAACATTTCTTGGGACAATGTAAAAGATTCCATTCCTAATTTTCATTAATATTCAAGAGGCTCTTCAACCCCCTGGAAAGGCAAAAAAGGGTGGGAACATCTACCCTTTATCTCTATTCATACTAGTTAGACCCCAGACAATGTGATAGATGTGTGATGTGTACATTTTTAATAATAAATATCCTGTTGCAGCAATTAATCTTTTTCCAGTTTATTTTTCTCCTTAAAGATTATACTACTTGTACTCCACGAGGTGTGTTAATTATTGCCTAATAGTCATAGCTTAAAGGATTAATATTTGTGTGATGGTACAAGATTGTTGCTATTAATTCACTGTTGCAAAAGCAATCTCAAATATATTGGTAGTTTTGTTGCTTTTAAGAGTACATCCTCAAAATAGATTCTGTCAGACAGAAACAACTTTAGAGTTCTGCAGTTCTGAAATCCCAAACTTGGTTGAAGAACAGTGAAGCATTCTGCAGTACTTGGCTTACTGATTTTAGAAGCATTGTGGTTCGATTTTTCCAACTGAGAGAACACTTGTTTCATTATTCCTCCTGATATTCAGGTCCCTATAAGGGGAAATCCTAGCATTTTATCAGCATTCCAAACAAAATGAACATGAAATTTGTCAGTTTGCCCCTTTTGTATAGTAGATCAGCCAAAATGCAAAGCATGGTCTTTTTGTTGTCTTGTACTTTTTCTTAAATGGAGTAGTTAAAAAATGGGATTTTAGTTCCTGCAAAATCTGTAGGGTGGGTCAGGGTGGATTCTCCTTGTTCTTAGAATTTCAAGTGAGCAATAGTTAAAAACAATCACAGATGGCTTTCAACATGCAATTGAGCATTGGGGAAATGAAAACAGTAATAATATAGATGTGTAACTTTCCTTGTTTGTGTATTGTGGTGCTTAGACTGGATTGCAAGAAATAATAAACCTTTCATTATATGCATAGTATTAAAATATGAATGTGTGTTTATAGGTGGCCTCCTGTATGCAGTTAATGGAAAGCCTTACCCTGGAGACAGGGAGCCAGTGCAAGCATTTGTGATGAACTTTTCAACTGGAGAAATCATTGACACTTTCATTCCACTTAGAAAGGTAACACATTGTGAAACTTGACTTGGTATTATTAAAAATGCATGAATGCTCTCTTTTTTTCTTTTCTACATCTTGTGCACATTTCAAATTTCATTATGAAAAATCTCACCTAGGTACTTTTTAAAATAATGTTTTATGGAATTATTCCTCTAATTCATGTAATGGAATTCTCATATTAGACAATATCACTGAATAATATTTCAGTGCAACCTGATACTTAATCCTAAAATGTTTAACCTAACAATGCATGGGTTTTGATATTTCAGAAAAACTGTTTTGAATTATTTATTAAAAGAGTTCAACCAAAAAAATTAATATGCAAGACAAACTACTACAACACTATTTTAATAATAAAGTGGCAATAGACAATAAGAAATCAGCATGTTTCCTCTTTAAAGATTTACATGAGCACTAAGTGGTCCATTGGACCATCAATTGTTGCATAAGATGCTTCCTTAAATGTAATGCACTGAAGACTGGATTACATCTAGAGTTCTAAGGACTTTGGATGTTCCTCAATGTGGAGGGGGGGAGAATAGTGAATTCAATAACTTTATTTTTCAAATTCTGAAAGCATGCTTAGTTGCTGAACAGGAAGCAGATAATTTTGCACTTTTTGGATTGCCCTTTTTATTTTGTAATTTAATTTTCCAAAACTAGAACAAAAGGATGGTAAATTTAAATTAATTAATGGAACAGCTTCATTAATCTGTATCTACCGATGATCAGCAAATTCCTGTGGCCAAAGAATGAAGAAACACTATTAGAAAAACTTTAAAGCAAGAATGCCAGCTGAGAAAAAAATATGTCCCAAGAGAGAAAAGCTATCTACATGGAATTCTGATTTCTGGATCCTAATAGTATATTGTAAACCTAACAGGGCATGCATGAATACATTTGGAAATTAGGGTTTTATATTCTGTTACTGGACTTGACTTGATTGCCTTATTGTTGATTTGAGTTTTATAGGTATGATTTACATGAAATACAGAATTAGAAATATGAAAATAAAGAATAGAAATTAATAGCCTCACCTTGATGCTTTGTAACAGTTCAAAGGCACGCATTGGTCCTCTTTGGATTTTTTTTTTAATCTGCAAAATAATTCAAGAAAAAAGAGGAAATGGTCTCCCAATATATTTCAGTGAACTCTCTCCATTTTCTACTTAGCTTTAACTATACTACATGCAATATCTGGCTCAGAGCTTATGCAGCACACAGTGGCTTATTGCCTCATATGGAAAGGCTTTTATTTAATTAGGCTACAGCCACAAAGAGATAGAATACAGGCCAAGAAATAAATTTGATTTGTTAATGTAGGGAGAGAAGAGATATTTCACTGAGGGCAATACAGTAAATTGTAATAGTATTTTCTATTATTTTCAGCTTGTCCGTAGTTGCCACTATGCATGTAGAATCAGCCTGCCATCAGATTAAAATTAATCAGTATTCTAGGTTTTTGTCTGCCTTGAAAACTTAAAACAAATGTCAAGTGCACTTGAATAAATTCAAATTTTTCCACCTATGAGTTTTTCTGATTATTGAGAATAGGAAACAAACAACACTGTTTAGTTAAAAAAAAAAAAAAAGCAAACCCCACAAACATGTATCTTATTAAAAGAATGATGGTTTAGAAGTAATCTAGGAAATTTTGGAGAATGAAGACTCCCTGCAGTCTTTCATTTATAGTTACAAAGTATATTTTATTGTTTCCTCAATCACATCCCTGCTAAGAATCTTTCACAATTTATACAAATTATGATTAAAAGTTCAAACACTGTCAAATGCCTCTGCATTCATAATTCGTCCTCTTGAATTACTGAATAATTTCCAATGTCTTCCTTATTTTAATACGTTAGCTATTTACCTTCACAGAATTTTGAGATGCCACATGACATTGTTGCTTCCGAAGACAGACTGGTGTATATTGGCGATGCTCATGCCAACACGGTGTGGAAATTCACATCCACAGAAAGTAAGATATTGTTGCCTTAGATCATCAGCGCATTAATATTCCCATATAAAAAGATGATATTCTTAAAGCTACTGTGCATTATGTCTCAATGTATGTGGGGCAAGATTTTTGTAAAAAGGTTGTAATGCTATTTGATGGATTAACCAAAGATTTCTGTGCTCCTAAAGCTCTATTTTGTTAAGGTGTTTGTGAACTGATTTTTTCAGATGATTTTTAAAAAGTTATCATTGTTGTTCTATATATGCAGTCATGTTTTAACTATGTTTTTAAATTATGTATTCGTAATGTTTTAAACTGACCAGTTTTTTAGCTAATAAATAATTGTTTGTTTCCTGTATTTCTCAGAAGCCTCTTTAAAACTACTGTGAATTAAAATGTGGTTGATACACGGCTATTTTTTTCAGTAACTGTTGGTAAGAAATGTTGGTAAGGAAAAGTAATGCTCTGAACCATCAGAGCTAGACTAACTGAGGGTCTAAACTTGTAATGAAATCCAAACAAGACCAATGGGGATTGTTACTTTTGCTCTTTTAGAGATTCACCAAGATGATTTGCAATATTAAATGCTGTGTTGCCATGTGTGGCTTTATGATCTTGTTAAAGAGAGCTCTTCATCCCAGGTTGTTCCTTAGCATCTGGCATGCAATGTCCATTGACAGGCCAACTGAGAATCGTAGTCACTCTGCTGTGCAAATGGTTTGATTTTCATTTTCCTGTGCCATTTTCACATCTTGTTAACCTAAATAAGTTGTACCCACTGGAATATTTTGCTGTCATTTGGTCATTGAAGTTGGCACTTGTTCTTGGCTGAAAGTGTCTCTATCAGTATCTTTCTGCTTAAAGTCATCAAGGAATAATTCTACTGTAGGTATTTTTTTTTCATTTTATATTTTTAAAAAGCATAATAAAACAACAAGGTGAAGAAATTTGAAAGTAGAAATAGGTAAGAATGAAAGAACTGTAAGGATTCCCAGATCACAATTTTTGTGATTGTTATAAATCATCTGCCAACCTATTACACGCCAAGAATAAATGTTTTGTGCTGACATTTTGGTTTATGTTTCTGATTTCCTGGGTAGAAAACCTTTCATTATTTATTCTGAAAGAAATGTACTACTTACTATATACTACTTATAGTATAACCCCTGCTATTCTAGAGCTGCTTGCATTCTTATACTTGCAACATCAATTATGTATCACAACTGGTGACCATTACTGGTTCAATGAATCATAGACATCACAGTGTGTCAAAAGCAATTTCTGTGTTTCAGAAATGGAGCATCGGTCTGTTAAAAAAGCTGGGATTGAAATACAGGAAATAAAAGGTTGGTCTTTTTTTCTGCCATTTAGGCTTAGGGGAACGTGCTGATTCTGTGTTGGAATGTGCAAAGTGCTTCAGCTTAAAACATTCTGACCACAAAGAAGCTGCTCTGATTTCCATGATTTTGTGTTTTGAGAGTTTAGTTTCAAGATTGGAACAAAACACAAGCATGAAATGGAACTTATTTGTTACGAAGGAATTGCTTTGAGTGTTGCAATTGTTCTGAGCACTATGGTCAGCAATTGTTTTCTAACTTATGCATGAATGCTCTTTGAAGATATCCATCCCCAAAGCATCAAGAATGTTTTGTACTTTCTAGTTTGCGAGCAACGCCCTAAGTGGTCCATATCGCCCTGAAGTAGAACTCAGAGCAATAGAAACAGTTGGCGTGTGGCTGTGTAGTTTGAAGACTGGTTGTCCCAGCCTTTCCATTGTTATTTTCCAACAATCAGGGTGGATTGGGTTTGATCTTACAGCCTACACAATTCTTGGGATTGGCTTGCAAAACTCAGAGCCAGCAAAAGCCTCAACACACAACACAGGAATTCCCTTCTAAAATATGCAATTATGCAATCTCTACTGAATTTGGAAGAGAGAAGTTTGGCTTGGAAACACTATATCTGAGAAGACAATGGTGTATTAATTGACAACAAATTGAACCGAGCCAGCAGTAGGAGACAGCTGCATGAAGGGTGAGTGCAGTTCTGGGCTAGAAGAAGAAGAAACGTCTATAAGAAACGTCATGTCTAAGATGTTTGACGTTATTATTCTGCCATTCTCAGTTTTACTGAGACTAAAGCAAGAGTATTCTGTGTTGATTCTGGGTGCCACATTTCCAGAAGGATATTGACTAAATAGAGAGAGATTAAATGAGGTCAAGGAAAATAAAACAGGAACTTAGGGTCCTGCACTGAAGAACAGATTGAAGGAATTTAGAAAGTTCCTCCTGGAGAAAAAAAAATGACCAAATGGAAGAATAATGTTCAGGTAGATTAAAGGAAGTTACAGGAAGGATCATCAATAATTATTTTCTAAAACTACAGAATTTAGGGCTAGAATTAATAGCAGTTACTTACATTTCATTTAAGTATAAGAAAAACAACTTCCTGATGGTTAGACCTATATAAAATGGAAGAGTATAACTGTAGAGATTGTAGATTCTCTATTTTGGGAGATATTAAAGAGTCTGTACAGCTATCTCTCATTGGTAGTCTAATTGGGTTTCCTATATATTGCTGAGGATTAGACTAGAATTATCCTTGCAAAATGACATTCTTTGATTATATAGATGCTTGTCTGGAAAATACTTGTGCATATGAAATAAAGGGATATAGCTTGACATGTACAAGTTTTGTTAAATATTAAATTGTATGATCAGCTTCTTTAGGCAATGACTTACAACCATTGATAGGAACTAAGTGTCCTTGGTCCAAAAATTGTGACAGTAGCAGAATGGAATGTGATGAATTATAAAGAGGAAGAACATTAAGAGAATAATACTTTTATTTCTAAAATCCTTATAAAGTTTGTTTTAATATTGTATTATTTATAGTTCTTTGAAAAATAGCTGCAAAAATATGATTTGGCCACTGGAAAAAATCTAGTATAAAGTAACAACAGTATTTTATACTGTTAGGTAGCCTTAAAAACAAAATTTGTACAGAATCGTGTAAATATTCATCCTCTTTCTCTTCCATCTGTTTTGGGCCACAAACATATAGGATTCAAAATCACGAATTGCTGCCTATAGAACTGTAGAACTCACCATATATACAGACTGTTGAAGAACACGCTTTATAAATTGCTTGTGAGGATAAATAAGCAGTGTTTCATTTTATTCACAAAAAATGGATTTTAACAAGTAAAGTTCTTCCTGTTTAGCGAGCCTTGATTACAAATCCATCATGTATCTTACCAAAGACAATTATAGAAATTTCCAGTAATTACATAAGGCACATAAGAGGAATTGCAAACAATTGATTGCACTGTCAATAATTTTGACTTTCTGTTAGGAAGTTATCATACTTGCCCTCTTCAAGTATCTAAAAACTGGTATTTAAAAGTGGCAATATGTGTTCTGAAATGAACTGTTATATTGTAGCAGATTCTGCCTGGATCAAAAGAGTTAATCTGTGTTTAATCTTTTCTTCTCTCCAAAAAAAGCAGAGGCAATTATAGAAGGCATACTGACAAAGAAACCCACATCAAAAGAATTTTTAAGGAAAGAAGAAAGGCATCAAGTTGTCCAGCAGGCTAGCAGTTCTGTTTCTTTTGTTCTTATTACAACACTTCTAATTATTCCAGTAGTTGTCCTCTTGGCAATTGCCATGTTTATTTGGTGGAGAAAGACAAGAATCTATGGAGGTAATTAATCGGTGTTTAACCTGGTAACAAGCACTTTTGATATCAAAGCCTTTATAACACAGAAGAACTTCGGAAGTGTTTATTTTCCACTGCCGCAGCATAATCAATTTCTGATCATGTTAACCGGCTTCAAAAAACATACATCATGGGATCTTTGTCCTGAGAAATCAGGATGTATTGTAATGTTCTTGTTTCATTCAGTTCAGTTTTCAATTAGGATGAATGTTCTTGTGGTTTCTGGGATGAGATAATACTTTGAGTTTATAGCATTGCTTATTACGAAAGGGAAATTATAAGTCTACTGAATAAAAAGGATTGTTGAAATGGTCTTGCTGCTTTGTTTAGCTTTTCTTGAATAAGACAGAGTGGAAACACCCATTCCTTCGGATGTTGCTCCTGTATTCTTTAGAATCTATTCTGGCATTGATTCTCTCTGAGCCAGCCAAAGACAGCTACTTTTCATTTTAACCTCTCGTAAAACAATGCTTGCAATGCTCCAAAATTATATCAGCAGTTAACTTGGAGCAGTGTGCTCTAAAAATACACACAGCAGCATCAAAGGTAAAGGCAAACTGTTAAAATCTGTTCCCTAGCCAACTCTATAAATGTGCTATCCAATTATTAAGCATTATTTTCAGAAAATAATTGCATTTGTGGACAAATGCCTCTTTAAACTCCGTACTAGTTCATTAAGCAAAGACAGCTTCAGGGATGAAAGCACATAAGATGTCTAATCCTCTCCTCTCATCACCTTTATTAGGCCACAAATGCCTTTTCTTCCTATGTTCTCCTGTAGGCCACCAAACCCCATTCATTGTTGTCAAAATTCACCATCAGAGTTTATCTCCAAATTTAACCTGAGATGTTATTTTTGAAGCTTTGAATTTCAGATTTGGATGGGTGATTAGTACCAGAAACACACACTTTTTAATGCTCAATTTTTTGTGTGTATTTCTACTCCAAAACACTATATAATTTATATATATGTTACCCTTGGACTGAAAATGATTGCCCCCAATTGAACATACAAAATCTTTTGAGTATTACTATAAGTGTAATTTTTATGAGGAAAGCCATACTTTATGCAAGAAACATTTTGTAACTAAGAGAGACCTTACGAACTTGGATTCACAAATTCTACATGCAGTTTTCTTGCCAAGTATAAGATTTTTCAGGAAAAAAATATTTTTAAGTATCTGAAGTCATATGAAAGGTTATTAAGTTTTTAAGAGAGTTTGAATACTATATTACAAAAACCAACTTAGTTTTGCTACATTTAAAAGGCTATGTGTTTGTGTGTGAGAGAGAAAGAAAATACAAATATCAATTATCAATTAACAATTAACTGGTGTCTATTATAAAATAATAATTTTATGTTATTAAATAATTAAATAAATAATTATTAAATAATTATTTTATATTACACTGAGTGGTGGCTCAGTGGCTAAGATGCTGAGCTTGTCGATCGAAAGGTCGGTAGCTCAGCGGTTCGAATCCCTAGTGCTGTGTAACTGGGTGAGCTCCCGTTACTTATCCAACCTAGCAGTTCGAAAACACGTAAAAAATGCAAGTAGAAAAATAGGCACCACCTTTGGTGGGAAGGTAACAGCGTTCCATAAACCTTTGGTGTTTAGTCATGCCGGCCACATGACCACAGAGACAGCGCTGGCTCTTTGGCTTTGAAACAGAGATGAGCAGCCCTCCCTAGAGTCAGGGATGACTAGCACATATGTGCAAGGGGAACTTTTACCTTTATTATAAAAAGAAATTAAAACAATTTATATTGTTTCAACTTCTTAGTTTGACTTTGACATTTTTCAGGGACATCAGAAAAAGTATCAGTCAGACAAGGTGGTTTTATGTTTAGATTGAGAAGTAAAATATAGTTCAAGGAATCAGTGACAGTCTAAAATCATTTGTAAATCACAGCCTTAATGGTAATACTCTAGTTTTCTTTCTCATCCATGTTTTGCTTCATGTAATTTCAATTTATAATTCTTGCTTCTAATTTACATATGTCTCTCAATTTTATAGCTGATGCTGATCATAAACTTGATTCAAGCTCAGGTAGAATTCTGGGCCGGTTTAGAGGTAAGTGCAATAAAAGAATTAGTGTTGCCTAACTAAAAGTTAAATGATATTTTCCTTGCATGTTCTCTTGTATGCGTTGTCTTTCCTCTGATAATGAATCCAGCAGTTACTCATGATGAGAAAGCTGTAAGATGTTGGTGAGTCATCTATTTATATACCATACAAAGCCTTTGGGAACTGATGATTTCTTAGAGGAACACAGGCAAAGCAAATAATAGGACTAAGAAATTGATTTTTTCCCCCCCCCCGACTTGCCCTTTATCTAAAATGAAGAAAAATATTGGCTGTAGTAGTTTCTGGCAACCTAAATTCTAAATATCTCTGAGCTAATTTTAAGCAAGGAGGGGCAAAAGGTTTATGGGGGGAGTGGGTAGAAAGCAAAACCTATTACACCTCGAAGTCCAAACTCTGCTTTGTGCCTGTGTCATGTCTCACTTGAAAGGAAATAGAAAAAGGTACATATTTCCTTTGGTTGAAAGATCAGAGGACAGTTCTACTTTTTAAGGTGTTTAAAAGTTCTACTTTTAAGGTGTTCCTTGATGTTGACCAAAAGGAGCTGATAAGCTAACAAAGTTGAAACCTGAAAAATCAGAATAATAATGTATAGTAACTAATATGTCTTTTTGTAAGACGTCCAGATTATGTTGTTGTTGTTAGTTGCGAAGTCGTGTCCAGCCCATTGCGACCCCATGGACAATGTTCCTCCAGGACTTCCTGTCCTCTACCATCCTCTGGAGTCCATTTAAGCTCACACCTACTGCTTCAGTGACTCCATCCAGCCACCTCGTTCTCTGTCGTCCCATACTTCTTTTGCCTTCAATCTTTCCCAGCATTAGGCTCTTATCCAGTGAGTCCTTCCTTCTCATTAGATGGCCAAAGTATTTGCACCCAGAATTACCCTGTGGTAAGATGGGCAGCCAATATGTTCAGTAATAAAGAAAAAATGTCTGAAAGATAACATGAACCATGTCTTAAAGTTGATTTCCATTGCAGGAAAAGGCAGCGGAGGCCTCAATCTGGGGAATTTCTTTGCAAGCCGGGCAGGTTACAGTCGAAAAGGGTTTGACAGACTTAGTACCGAAGGGAGTGACCAGGAAAAAGAAGAGGATGCCACAGATTCAGAAGAGGAAGAACCTGTCCCTCAGCCTCCAGCGATACCTTCATCTTCTTCCTGAAACTGGCCTTTAATTGCTACATGGTCTGAGTCTACAAAGATTGCCAGATTTAGCACGTTTTAAGATTTTACGTATTTAATTGTAAACTGTACTAGTCCTTTGTGAGGCTGTACACAGATTTAATTTTGTTTTTGTTCTTCCGTTCCCTCCCCTTTTGCTTCAGTTCAGTTTTGGAGTGTGAACATTTCCTATCAGTGCCATTGTTTTATGTGAACCTTTTAATAAAGCAGGGCAATCCCATTTTAATTGCAGTAATGCTTTAAAATAGTAATATTTACTCATTTCAATTAGGGACCGTCTCTATATTTGTAAATAAGTCCCAGTCTCAGCTTTAAGAATACCTTTGGTTTTCAGTTTTTCTTTGGTGCCTTTTCACTTTTGATGCCCTTAATCTATCACAGAAAAGAGAGAATACAGTGCCACAATGAAACAGAGCCACTAAATCTCCTATTTTTTAAAGAAATATCACAAGTATTCTATTACTTTAAGGGAAAGATTTTAAAAAGTCTCTATTTATAATTGGATCCTTTTTTTTTTCCTCCTTCTTCTTGCTCAGACTTTGTGTGTTTCCAGGATGTCTTATTTTTAGATGGCTATACTGTTAGAACACTATTTTCAGAAGCTGAATGTAACTTGTGTAATAAAGTGTTCGCAGAGCATCAGCTGTCAAAGTGGAATTTTTGTATTTGGGGTGAAGGGGAAATGCCTTTGGAGACAGCCCAGTTAAAAAAAACCATCAATCCCCAAAGAAGGTGCAAAACAGTTTTTTAAAAAACACAGCAACTGAAAAGATGACTCAAATGTTATTTTGTATGAAAGAAGATATTTTGTTAAGGAGTGGTTTTTTTAAAAAAGAGAAAAAAAAACAAATTAAAAAGTTAAAAGTCCATTACCTGTATAAATTCATGTTGTAGGGAGGTGGTTTTTTTAAAAAAAAAAAAAAAAAATCCGGCCTGTATATCCTTCCTCCAGGGCAGATAACAAAATAAAACATTGCTGGAACAGGAAATGTGTGTCAACTTGCAGAAGAACTGTTTTTGTTCCCGTATTGTTCTTCAGTTATACCATAGAGATCACATATGATTATCGTGTCAGCTTGTTTTTAAATTTGGCATTTTAAAGCACTTTAGAATGCTCAAAATATTTAATTGATATATATTCTAATAGTTCAGACAGCAACCAATATTGTTCATTTGCATATGGATTAAATATCAAAAAGGGAATTTGTGGCAAATATACTATTTGAAGTAGGGCTTCCTGATTTGGTCATTAAAGTTTAGGCAGGTCTATTTGGAAGCAAGTCTCACTATGTGTGGAAATAATATTTTTGTCAAACAGTCCCAGTTTCCTTCACTACTGAAAAAAATATGGGTGCATTGATACATGATTAATATACCCATATGAGTATCATACATAGGCTATATGCTTCTACATAATAGAGTTTGAGAACTAGAACAGTGATATGATCAAAGAAGAAAGCCCATATTAAGCCTGCATCTGAAGATATTCAAAGATTTCCATCAGTGTTGTGACAATGATTACAAAGTAGTGTTATGTTTGCCAAGTCACATAAATGCTTGCATGGAAAGAGATTTCAATAGTAGTAATACAACCTAAAAAAGAAGGAAAAGCATAGCAAACATTAAAAAGGTATATTTATCTTCAAAAAAAGAAAGAAAGAAAAGAAAAATATTCCTGAGGTTACAATTGTGTTGAAAAAGAGCAAATTAAATCAAGGAAACAGTTTGGAATGGGTGTACTTCCAACCTACTTCCCTATTCTTCAATATGCTTCCTTTTAGCTTCTTTGGCTTAGGAACCCGAAGGCCCCTTTCTATGGTGGTGGTTTCATCTAATCTCCAGTGATAGTTCTACATCAGGGGTCCTAACCCTCGGTCCGTGCACTGGCACCAGTCCGTGGCATGTCAGAAACTGGTCCGGGCAAACAAGCGAAGGCCTATCCATGGGAAGCAGGCAGCAGGCAAAACCACACACCCTCGGATCCATGGAAAAACCATTCTCCACAGAACTGGTCCCTGGTATCCAAAAGGTTGGGGGCCACTGTCCTACATCCATCTTATAGGACAAGCTCCATTGCATATTCCACACCAGGTTTCTCTGAGAGACACTGGTAGACTCTTCTTTTGTATTTCACAATCTTAAGAAATAAAGTTAAATATTTAAAAATCCTCTTCTTTTTCAAGAAATTCTGGCCACATCTGTTTTAACAAGGGGTCCCATGCAAAATTTCTTCAAAATTCTTCAAAAGGCCTAATTCTGAAACCTTTCTATTTTTACTGAGGGTTGTATTACTATCAATTTACTTTTAAGAGCAGCCATATAAAGCTTAAAAATATATTGTTTGAAAAATGATGATTTCTCATAGAAAGGGATAACAATTATTATTCGTGATGTTTGAAAATAAGTTTCTTGAAGCCATTCAAACAAAGGTGGAATCAAAATTTATTGATAAAATTGTAACAAAAGAGATTTGTTGATTGTTATTTTGTATCTTTGTAAAACCAACATTATGCAAAGAGAAAAATTGGAAAGAGAAAGTAAATAAGTTCTTTGGAGTGGAGGAGAAAATATGCAGAATATTAGAATTGTCTCAGCCATTTTCCCACCTCTTTTTTTCTGAATCTTAAAGTCTATACTACTTTCACAAATGTTTAGCTTATTTGGCCATTCTGCATACTTTTAGCAAAAGCCAAACAAATGTCATTTATTTTGTCCCCACATGAGTAATGCTGTGCAAGATATTGCAATAGTATATTAACTCTTCACACATACACACTCCCAAAAAAGAAAATAAATGTCAAATTATGCACAACAAAGCACCTTTAGCTAGAATTTTAGTGACAAATAGGAAAAGTAGAGTCATCAGGCCAGAACAAGAGGAAGAGCCTTGTCAGCAGTGGAGATTGCTATAGAAAGGGAGTTATAGCTGCAGTAAACCAAGTAATGCATTGTTTATACACTGCTGAAGTGTAACACTTTTCATCCTCTCTAATATTGGAGTTATGAAACCTGATCAGATTCTACTAATAGGCTGATAGATACAATAGAGTTTGCAATTAACTAGGATCCCACCCTTTATCCACAAGAGTAGATAAGGCCCAAGGCACCACAGACACGCATGCCAACCTAAGCATCATGCAGTTACCTGAAGGTGTTCTAATTATGTGGAATTACCATCCCAATTAAACAGCTGTCCTTGCCATCAAATATCATTAGGTGGAAATTGGTTCCCTGGGAGGCATCTTGATTAAGTAGTGTTTTCCAATTAAGCAGAGCACTAAAGTAGTTAATCAGAATTTATAGATCAATGTGGTATATTGGAGTAGCATGGTATAGTGTCTATATTGTTCCCCTATCCTTATCCTACCTCTCCTAGCTTGATTTATGAGTATTCCTTCAATCCATAATGTCTAGCTAACACTTCTGATACTAATTCCTGTAACCCCAAATCAGGATGACAAACATGCTATTTATAAAAGGTGCAAGACAAATGAAAGTTTTAGCTTTACATCTGAATCCAGGATTGCTTGGGCAAGTTTGATGCTGTTCATAATGCAACATCAAGATTAAACCAGGTTTCCTCTTTCTTACTATAACTGTAGTTTTTGACTGATTATAGCAGCAGCATTTGGAGGAGGAGAGAGTGAGCATCTATTTCTGTTGTGATTAAAGATAATTTAATGAAATAGGAATTCAATAAAATACAGTATATTCTATATTATGTTTGAGGGTCTAATACAGTTTTTCATCAGATCAATAGTCCCAGCCTCTTCCCATCTGAGAAGTTACAGTGGCCATTGGAAGATTATGCAATCCATGTAGATTTTATCCTTCAAAAACTGATCCATAAGCAAGTAGATTACAAATGGGAAATTTTTGTAGCCAAAAATAATAGCAGATTTAAAAGGTTGGGTAAGAAATAAAACAGCAACAGTATTAAGGTAATTCCTGAAATTATTTCAGGCCTTGGAATCAATCTACAGCTAGAATTTGGCACTACATGTGCCTAGAACTACCTTCATGTTACTCACCACGTCCCCTGCTCCTCTTGGTTTGTTGCATTAAAAATAAATAAATAAGCAAATAAATAATGCAGCTGCTACTATGCTGCAAAGCACACAATTTACCATGCCTCTTATAGCTTCCTACCCCCAAGCATGGATCTAAAAAGCAAAAATGCAATAAAGCAATAACATAAAATATAAATATGAAGGGTGACCTAGTGCTTTGTTTGAAAAATATGCTTACTTGTCTGGAAAACTTAAATTATTATTTTATTTTTATTTTATTTTATTGGTTCAATTTATATGCCGCCCTTCTCCAGAGACTCAGGGTGGCTTACAATGCAATAAGCAATAGCCTTCATACTTTTGTATATACCTGCTTAGTAGGGTTTTCAGCTCCCCCTAAGCGATGTTCTTTTTATACAAAGTCAGTTTATTGCCCTCACAATCTGGGTCCTCATTTTACCTACCTTGGAAGGATGGAAGGCTGAGTCAACCTTGAGCCTGGTGAGATTTGAACTTGCAGTAATTGCAGGCAGCTGGCAGCTAAGTGCTACTTAACAGCACTTTAATCCGCTGCACCACCAAGGCTCCTAAACAGAATAGACGTTCAAGAATGGGGACTAGAGGAAAGATCTGTGATTTGCAATTAATCATGTTCTATGCGGCAACCATTCTATTAACAGATAAGTCTCCTAGAAGAATTATTTTAAGTGAATCGAAATGCTGCTCAAAGTATAAATATAATACCCAAACTTTGGCAAAATATGTGCCTAGGAAGTTGGGAAAACTTGTCTAGGTCACTTAGCTGCTATTTCTTATGAAACTCACAGTAAATTAATCTGGTGAATGAGAATTAGTTATGCTGTCTTTAGTCACCCCAATCAGCTGAATTAATCCTCCTGCAGGGAATAGGTATAGTATACATCTCATAGTCAATGGTACCATTTAACCAATCTTAAGTTTATCTTCCTGTTGTAGGAATGACTAAAACTATAGTGGTATTAAATGCTGCACCCACTATGTTTGATCTCAGCTAAAAGGTCCAGAAACCCTGAGACTCAGTGAGTGATTGACACCTAGTGGTTAAGAAGACAAAGAATAACTTATATTTTGCACTGAAGACTGAATGAAGCTTTACTGTCATACTAATCCCACCAAAGTCAATCAAAATATCTTTTTTCCCCTAATTTGTATAATAATGATGCACCAGGAACTTGACTGCTTATCAGTTATGGATTTAAATGTTCAACAATTTATTTAAACAATATAAATAAGCTTTATATGCTTGCTCATACATAACAGACTCAAGTTAGTGCAGGGCTTTGTCTCTTTTTTCTCCAAAATAATTAATCATAAGCTCTGGTAAGACACAAATTTACTCTGAGACTTCCTTGTACTCCCAGAAACCCCACCTAGCATGGCTAAAAACAAAAAATGCAGGAAGTTTTAGTCAGTGGTGGGATTCAAATAATTTAATAACCGGTTCTCTGCCCTAATGATTTCTTCCAACAACCAGTTCACCAAACTGCTCAGAAAGTTAACAACTGGTTCTCCCGACATGGTGCGAACTGGCTGAATCCCACCACTGGTTTTAGTACAAATGATCATCCCTATTGATTGGATAATAATCCA